TATACATAACATATACATAAGACTATATACATATTTCAAACGTTTTGACAAAATGAATGTATCCCTCACCCTTCAGTGATAAGTACACAATTCGCATTCCTTTGTGAGCGAAAGTTTTATATTCACCACATTTATCCTAAAAGAGACTAAAAAGAGGGAAAACTGAATTTCTGTGCTCTGCAATATCGGATGGGCGTGGTTACTTTTGTTCTGTTTTGTAGAATATACCCGGAAATTTTCACAATTTATCTTTTGTGGTTTATGAGTAATGGGCAAAAGCATCCAGAAAATAGCGATGTCCTTACTTTAGGCTGCACCATCGGTCTTTAGACCGCTATGGACCATTTCGCATCGATTAAGCCATGTCGGTTCGTCTGTGTGTCTGTGTGTATGCGGTGTCTGTTGTTGACACGCTCCTGATCGCAAACACGAAGATACCAACTTCAAATTTGTTAGCAACATTGAAAGTTCTTTTCCAGGCAGGTCGATATTGAAAGTAGACTAAATTGGTGAAAGCACATAGGCCTACAGCAAAGCGTAAATTGAACGCAACTTTGTTTCTCTAATCAAAAGTTGTGTGTAAATTATAAAAGATGGAAATCCGCAATTTTCTTCTCTTTGTGGAAAGCTCTACTAATTATGTAAATATGAAATAATTCGCGAGTAATCCTAAGGTAAATAAAACATTATGTTTAAAATTATTTTGTACATTCCTCAAATGAAGATTTATTATCTGCCTAAAAATGCGTGAATTTTAAAATGAATATGGTAGACAGAAGGACGGGGTGGATTAATTTGTTCTTAACAATACCAAGGATGTGGGTGTCAAATAAAAGGACTTGAAGAGTAGTACGCGAAAGGAGAAGTGTGTTAATTGTAAATTAATTAGAATGTTTAATAAATTAAATCATGGGGCGTTTAGAGAAAAACGATTTCTTAGTCATTATAACCTTAATTGCCCCAAGCTTTTATGTACAGACATTCAAGATTCGACCTCAGCCGAATATAATTTTCGTATTTGTTTGGGTCCGAAGTTAGAAAAAGGGGCGAATGTCGCTTACGTGGGAAAAATAGATTACAGCGATGAAAAATTAGATCAATTACAATTTCCAAAAAAAGATGTGTTGGCATTGCTTGATGAACTGACCAAGGCACATTTTGTCCGTTGAAGCCCTTACGGCAAGCGTATCCAAAAGAAGTGCTCGCTTCTCTTCGGAAAAATCGGGAAAATGCGGTACATGTATGCATCTATAACGTCATACGAATGGTATTTTCTACAGATGAATTGAAAGACCATCTGTATTAGCAAAGCAACTGAAAGCGACGAAACCGAGAACCCAAGTCGGCAATAGATGATAGAAAAAGCTTCATTTACAACGCTATTTAACGACTATTATCATTGCAACATAGACAGATTGTTAGTATATCGTTAAAATGATAATCGGAATAAGCAAATAAAAGATTTTTCATAGCTCTTAATATAACGCATTGCTTATCTCGGCAAACAAAATATAACGATACACATATATCGTATAGTACGTTGAGAACACAAAACACCCTCGCCCAATTCCATGACTATTGCATAACATTTACATTTGAATCGATTGGCGTTATATGACTGAATGGGCCACTTTTCGTTCGTAGTAAAATTGAAAAAGCGAAACACAGCGTAGAACTTAAAACAAAACTATAACTCGGTTAATTAACTTAACCACATAAAACTGAGCCGATAACGGTGTGTCTTCAAAATTTTCGGCGATCCTATTTCTCGGATTATTTAACTATTGAAATAGAAAAAAAGCTTTGCGAAAGTTCGCCATCAAATCAAAAATTCAAAAAATGCGGTTGTTTAAGCATTCATTAAGAAGCCTTTGGTAGTTGTCGTCATGTGTATATTTGCATCTGGCAATGCTGCCTGATGATGATTGGCTTCGGGGACGGTTATTGGGGAAAATAGAATTCCAATCCATGATTTTAGCAAACAATGTTTACCAGTTAACGGACCGCTTCCCTGCTTACATTCTGATAATCTCATGTTTATATAAATTCTTAGAGTATTAATCCTTTCAACTAATTTTTCATTGAATAAAATTAGTCAATAAAACTTGACTTTATCGCATACATACATTATTTGGATGTTGTTGTTTCATTAATGCGCACTTATCTATGCCCGTTCATACATATAGAGTAATATATGTCTTTTATTCGATGTGATTGAAAAATAATGAACAATCAACGATAATTCAACATTAAGTAGGGAGCTAATCCTATTATTGGCAAAATAAAAGAAATTCACATCTCGTTCACAATCAGCGAACCAGTCAACAACACGTAAGTCAACACATTCTTATACGAGGAATAAACATTTAATGCAGACTCAGACTTCAAGTGCATACATGTGCAACGTTAGATAGTGAAATTCTGCAGTAGTGATTGAATTTACGACAGCGATGGCAAACTTTCAACTGAGCTGACTTTTAGTAGGGATATGAATCTGTGCAAGAGAAAGTACATACGTACATATATAATTATTTTATTTTGTTTAACTAAAGTCTTACAATAGTAGTTACGCTCCATTATGAATAGTTTTAATAACTAAAAATCATCGACAGTCAAAAAAGTTGTAAGGATTTGTTTTGGAAATAAATGAGTTCGGTAGAAGTAGGTAAGCCCAGTGACCGCTAATTTCTAGAATCACCTGTGACAAAGTGTATTCATAAACGAAAACCCTAAAAGCTTTACTAAAATCTTACTATATAGTAATATTCTAACAAAAACCCATGTGGGAACTTATTTGCTAAGCCCATTTTTTCTACGTACAAACAAGGCTTTGCCGGTTCTTTTATTTATTTATTTATTCATTTAATTGCACATGAAATTCAACTAACACAAACTTACACCCGAATTAAATTGAGTTCTATAAATAAATCTTATCTACTTGTTACGAATGAAGTCTTAAAAAATAGAAAAAAAAAGTAAAGAAAAATAAAACAGGATTCATGTATAATTAAACAGAAGAAAAAGAAGACAAGTAAAAAAATTATATTCGAATCTTCTACACCCATCGCCGTTCAAACAAAAAAAGGTAAAAGAACTAAATTTCCTTGCTCTATAATATGGAATGGGCGCGGCTGATATTTTTTATGTTCAAAATAAAAGCCGGCGTAGTCGTATGGGCGCTGTAGGTTACTTCTAAATTATTTTGTATATTTGTAGGCGATATTTTTAATGCACAAAGCCTCACAAAATGACGACAACGGCCAAATGGACGGACTAACAGACGAACTTGTTTATTCTAAATTTGAAACTGGACAAGAATGAATATACCCTATCGGGTTTGTGAAGTTTGCTTCGGCGCGTTATAACAGTAGTAGAAAGAAAAATTAAATGTTGACACTCTATAATATTGCACTCTATAATATGGCACCACCCATAGAATATGTATTCAAATTTTTATAGATTTACCTTCTGCAGTGATGATCAAAAAATAAATTGCTGTCGATTTTGAAAAACAGCGGTGATCACAGTTTACGCAGTGCTGTGGGCGTGTCATGCAAACAAACGGAAACTTTGCAAACAATTATGGCGAACGTATTTAATGCTATCTACGAATCATAGGAAGTTTAATGATTAACAGTTAATGGCATAGCTAGAGCGTGCATATTATAGGGAGTTACTTTGATAGGGTTTAAATAGTCGGATATTGGGTTTTAGATAACATTTAGATTTTTGCAAAGGCACCTAAATGGGTTGCAAAGCTCATAGTTGTATCTACATTGACTGAGCTTTATGAACATAAAGTTTCTAGAAGAGCGACTAGGAACACTGAAGTCTATCTCACGTAATAGTGTCGGCGAGTCAATAGTTCCATTTATTAATTTCACTAAAAAGGGAACACCAAGGATAAAATCTACGTCTCTCCACTGAGGTTAAGGCCAGCGAAAGCAGTCTGTCGTCATAACGAGCCAACGGAGAAGGGGGGACGTACCGTAAATTCCTCACGGCAAAAACCAGAAAACGTGTCTGAACTGACCGAATTTAGTCAACATAGCACCTCTAGAAAGGAGACCTTACAACTCCGCAGTATTGATGAATTGATCTCAACAACCCAACGAATAGCCATACTGCAACATGTTAGTGGTCAAGCTGTTTTAGCCCACCGTTTAATAAAGCCAAGTAAAGACCTAGCTTTATTTATAGATAGCTCAAACTGCAGATTAAACCGGAATCTGTTTAGTAGGAAGAGCACCTTTTATCTCTCGCTCTATCTCTCTCTCTGAGTCTCTCTCCCATCAGAATTGCAAAATATATTATTTACGTCTGTTATTAGTGGAGTTTGCTTTCAAGAAATCAAATAAAAAATCGAGAAATTAATCTATTATTTGATAATTTATAATACTCATTAGAACTCATAGCAGTTAGTGGAAAATATTTTTAAATAATTACAAAGTAGTAAAAAATGCACAAGGGCATAAGATGGCAAAGCATTGATATACTCGGCCATTTTAAATTTTTGTAACTTAGTCCCGTCACTTTTTTGACCATAGTGCTATTACGACATCTTTGTGAACTAATGCCGGTTCTTGTTTGAAAGAAGTATATTAAGCTTTGAAACAATGTGATGCGATATATGCGAAGATTGACAAATATTTACGGATGATTCCCAATGCTTTTTAAAAGATGTGGAATAAGATTTTTATAGAAGTAATTTTTTCACCATGATTTTTGACATCCATGATAATTTCAAAGTCGTAGTAGTCTACTCCCGAAATTTTTTAGACAAAATTTCTTGATTTTTATTATTATTATTATTTTTTTTTTTCATAGAATTTCTTTTACGTTTTAGAGCACCTTTTTGTATCTAAATAACACACACAACAACATTAAAACAAAATCCACAGTTAAATGGAAATTTATCCACTCAAATTTTTCTTTTCTATAGCATTTACTTTAAATTAAATTTACAATTATTAAAAACTGTTTTTTGTACAAATTCGTAGATGTCTTCATCTAAATCTTCAGTTGCTTTAAAAGCTACTGCAGAAATAACTACTATCCTCGATTTAAATGATGATTGCTTGCTAAATATATTCAAATACCTATCTATACAGGACGCCTTCAATATTTTAGGTTGTTTTGACTCGAGGATCGATGACGTCGCCCTTACCCGTATAGCTGATCTCAAGAATTTATGCTTTTCGCTACGCGAAGCACCCAAATTTAAGCGATGGCAATTACAAATAATCGGACAGAATTTAGAAAGCATTTGCATTAGTGCCGGCTATATGTTATCATCGCAAATGTCTCTGAATTACCTACAAATACTTCTGAGTTCGTCTAATTCAAAACCACGCCTGCATGAGCTTACCATAAATTATGTAAAATTTAACGATGACTATTTGGACTGCGTTCTCAACGTTGTTTCTAATATAAAGTACCTGGATTTGAGTTTCTGTCAGCTAAACGATGAGCTTTTATTGCCAATTTTGGAACGAGCTGAAAAATTGCAAATATTGAAATTAATAGCAAATTATAATTTAGAATGCAAGTCGTTGCACCACATACAGTCCCCACACTTAAATTTTGTCGAATTGGAAATGAATCTGCGATGTGGTATTGAAGTTAAGAAATTCATAGCCGAACATGTTAACGTGAATGTTGCCGTGCATTCGCCCAGTCGTTTAAGTTACATAACATATGGACCGAACAGAAATGAAAACGAAGGAAACGACGAAACTATTTAAAAAATTATTTGCTCTTAAATGGCAACTGATCTCACTAAATTATGAACTTGCACTTTGTGCATTTGCTTTAAATATTTTTTCATATCTTTCTCTGTTTCTTTTATCACAAGTCCTTTTGTCTCGCCAAATTGTCCCAAAATGTAAGGTGTATGAGCCTTTTACAAAAGGTAAGGAAAAAATGCATGACCTCAACTGATGTTTACAGAAATATAACCTATACTCGGCCATAAACGAAAAAGAAATCTGCAATAAAAGTGTATAGTCGTCACGAGACCTGGATTATTCTGCAAAGATGAGATAATTTAATTGGTGTGGCGTTTAAGCAAGCGTAGAGCAATATAGTAAAAACTACTTATGTCAAAAGAGAGGGCTTTCTAATAATATCGGAAAGGTGAATATCATCTTCACAAAACGAATGAAAAAATTTAAACCATATTCGAAAATTGCGATTAGATTCTTGAACGAAGAAGCTAATTATATTCTGCTAGTAAACCTTAAACAGTTTCTACCTTTCGCCTGATGGGAAAAGAAGAAGAAAATTTCAAAGTATTTGTTAATCGCGGACCTAAAAGTCATCGTTAAGCCGGACATTCACTTGGTTTCAATGAACGTTTTGCAAAAATGTTCTAATATTTTAAATTTCCAGTGATTTCAGGCGAACATCTGCACGCTCACCTATGTCTATGTCAACATCACACACACAATATGTATGTATACATATATATTGTACAATACATAATATATAGAATACATAAATCTATTATATAATATATACTTCAGCTTTCCTTCCACCGTAAAATTAACAACCTCGAAAACATTAAGTCTCTGCTTTTTTATTCATAAGCAAGACTTCTTATATCTTCGAATTTAAAAGTAAACAAACACTTAGGTGTATTGAATGTAAGAACCCTTTATTTTGAATGTGTGTAAATATTTTATATTTAAAAAAATGATAATAAAAACTTATCTGAACAAGAAAACGTCCATAGTGGATTTATTATTAAAGAAAACTTCAATTAACATTAAACGTTCATTGTTACCATGAAAGGTATTCAGTCCATTTAATCAACAAAATAGGTTTCATAATCGTTGAATCGTTGAATGATCATGTCATAAGTGCCAAATTAAATGAACCAATGAGTACATTTCAAATGTCAGATAATTTTTGTTATCATATATTCAAGTAAATTGTTAAAATAATCTTAGCAGAAATTATGAATGTTTTCTAAGAAAACACACGGGAAAAACTTGCATAAAAAAAGTAAACTTTGCACAGAGAATACAATAATTTCGAATCTTAAAACTATGCCGAGTTAAAATAATATAAAAATCCAACATTTATAATAAAACATAAAAATATAATTTTGGTTTGTTAATGCATTAGTCAAAAAAAAAAAAAAATTATCAATAATTGCCAACTGGGATTTTAATTCGAAAACTTATCTTTGTAGAATTCACGTATAAGCTTTTTCAAATACTTGGCTTCACGCTTATGTTCGGTTAACAGGCGGTTGAGTTCGTCGTTACGTTGAACAAGGTCTTGTTCTTCAACGAGAACATTTTCCATTTCTAATTTTTTCTTCTGACGATAACGGGTTGCAGCGTTCTTATTCTGCTCTTTTTTACGAATTTTGCGATCTTCCGGGGCTCGCCCATAAGGGCGTGTACGTTTTTTGTTCACCTTATTTGAGCTCGAAAGCGAATCTATAACTGATGTTTGTACTGGCGAAGATCCGCCCGAAGACGGCAACCATTCATCGTCAGTGGTGATATCGTCTGTTTGCGAAGGTGCCAGGGAAACTGATGATTGCGATTCAGTTTCATCGAATAATTCTTCAGCAGCCGATTTTAAAATGTCATCAACAATCTGCATTTCGCGAGCCAACTCATCCTCGCTTAAGGCGGCAGGTAAGGAAGATTGAGCATTATTATTCCAGTTCGCGCTGAATACAAACTCCGATTGATTTGCTTCCGTACCGAATGGGCTCGTCGATTCCGACACATGATGGAAAACATCGCTAAACTGTTGCAAAAATTGTAAAAATAATTATCATTGTTAACATTATTCTCATTTATCCAGAACATACATTTAAAGGTAAATTATTTTCGGCTGCTGATGCATTTGGAACTGGTGCTGCTGATGCTGGGGAATGGTGCTGGACTGGTGAAGCAAAGCTTTGTGGTGGTGAGCTCGGTGGAGTCAGTTGTGTTAAAATAGAGACTTCAGGCGTACTGTTAGGTAGGCTAAAGTTGGTAGCATTAACTGGTGCTTGAACTTTAGCTACGAGAGTTGAAATCCCGACTACATTTTCTAACGAATTATCCAGTGATTGAAAAGGAGTATAAAAATTTTCTGTAAACGAAACAAAAAACTATTAATATTAATTAATAATAATAAGAGAAAGAACAGAAGAGAAGGCACAAGTTGCGAAGGGGTATGGAGAAATATATATGAACGGAAATCACAATAGGGAACTAAAGGAGCTGAAATCATTCCACACGATCTAGTTTTTTTACGTCGGCTAAAAGGGCACTTAAAGGCAGAAAACTTTATATTCGAATGGGGAATACTGGATACTTTCTGATTCTGTGTCCGCGATGGATACCTTCTGCCATAAAATCTCGTGGCATTAAACTGGACACAGGCATTATTCAGGTCAGAAATGACAAATGACTTGCTTGCTTTAAATATCATTCTTGGCTTAGTTAAACATGGAAGTGGACTGGATTGACCAAATTATGTCTTTACAGGCTTGGTGTAATGGGTATAACAAGCATTCTCCCTAAAGCATTTTTTACGCAAAACTTGTTGGAATTTTTTTTGGTTTGTTACAGTGGATAACAAAATTTCACCCTCACTCTCTTTTGATATAAAAGACCCTCCAAATACATGCGTTCGTAGGAGAGGCCTGCGGTTAGTTTAATATGAACTTTATGTAATGGGGAGCAGAGATTCACCTTGATCACCAAAATAAGGTGATCCGAAGTATTTAATATCTATTCATATCCATTTAACATTAGTGACAAAGACTCGCTCTGAGCTTCTGTTAATATAATATACACTAAACTTTCTATAATGAATTGTTTGTCCGTAGAAGAGATTGGGAGAATCGCGATCAGCTCTTTTAAGATTGTTTGCATGATTGTTGCATGTTGTGAATTTACTAAAGCGTCTGCGAAAATGCCCCTGAAACCCCGAATATATCTACAGAAATGTCCCTGTAAGAGATTCTCGTTTTACGTCTGCAGAAAAGTTTGACTCTAAAGGAGAAGCTTCATTAATTTTGTTGCCAGCAATCGTTATTTTTTTTTAACTGACCCACGGATAAAAATCATGAAGTCTGCTGAAGTTTCATTCATATCATTTTACGTATATTTCATATTAGCTCTAGATGCATGAAAAGAAGAAATATATAATTAGATGATTCTTATCGCTTGCAATTTTTTATTTTATTATACCAATTTTAAAAATACATACTACGAAATACGAAACCATAATTATTTATAAATTACAAAGTAAGTCAAAGTCTATTGGATTAAAGCAAAGAAAAGACATAGCTGAATTATAAGAACATACAAAATGGACTCGTTGTTGATCTGCCGATGTCATAGAATCGTTTAATACACACACAGCACAACCACAGCAAATAAAATATTTCTATCATTGTTTAGGCGGTCAGCATGAATGCGTGTAGTCATGAAAGACGCGAACTTTATATTCGGCTATGGCCGAACCATATTTATCTTAAAAATTCCCACAAAATATGTAATTTTGATAATCTGAAATATTGAGAAGAACTAACCGATTTTTTCAATTTTGTTGCAAATGCTGTAGGATCACCCATACAGAGAAATTTGTACAATTTTAGCTGTTATAGCTTGTGGGTAACGAGCAAAAAATCAACTATTTTTCACTTCACTTTTACGGTCAGGCAAACATTTAGCACGAACAGAGGAATATGCTCAAATCGATTCGGAATTTGATGCTGTTCAGGAAGATATGTATTTTGTGGGATCTTTAAAAGTTTGTTATGGATGTTACAAATGTTTTGAAAAAGTAAATATATCGCCAGCTCTTGGTGGTGCGTGAAAAAATGGGTTTTTTGCTCTCTGCAGTGCTGATACACTATAATTATAAAATTTTGCATATTGTACGTACGAACCTTTATAAAATGAAAAAGATCTTTCACACCCACCTAATATTGTGGTATCGAAACTTCATTTTTTGATCAAAATTCTCGTAATGTCCAGAAGAAGCTTCAGAAATAACTGGTATATTATTTTTGCCTGTCTGTTCAGTTATGCTATATACATGACAAAAGTTCCCTCGTTCGCAAAAATAGAGATATCAATTTCAAATTCGGCGGAAACATTTCAAATTGTATTAAGGGCAAAATTGCCCAAAGGACATGTCTAGAGTGCAACACAAACTGGCAGCACTTCTGCTCTACTGGATTTTATGCGGATCAATCATAAACTACAATAGACAAGCAGCAATGAAAATGGTCTTATGTACTCTATAAAAATGGAAATAATGACCCACGCCCATCCAATATTATATAGTAGGAAAGATTTGTGTTTTCGTTTCGATAAAAATGGTGGTTAAAAAAATTCGGTCAAAATGGCATATAATATTCTTGCTTGTTAAAAGCTAAGGCGATATATAAGGAAAATTGAAAGAGAATTAATAAAATAAAATTCAATAAAATCAACACGAGATGAAATGAAATGGGATCAAAAGGTTATCAGACATGTAATGGCCTAGTTAGAAAATAAAGTGCGTATATTCATATCAAAGAGAACCCACATATATAGAAAAAAAATTAGAAAGAAAGACAGATAGATAAAGCACAAGAAGCAAAATGCCTTTAATAAAATACATAAGTAATACAAGATGCAAAAAATTTGGTTTAAAAAGTACATTTAAGTCAATCTACATCGACACAAGGCATTTGAAGCCACGTAAGAGAGAAATGCGTTCAATTGGGGTCGATTTTTATATGTCTTGTATAGTTTAAAGTTTTTTAGGAGGCGCGAGTGAAAGAGCGCATTAACATGCGTTAAAACCAACCTTTTCTCTTTTAAAAAGAAAATGAGAACTAAACGAGAATTAAAAGCAACTCTACGTGGCTTTTCATTTCATAGAATTTAGTCGTTTACGTATAAAAGATATCAAAGAAACAAGTTTGACTTCTACAATAAAGCAGCAGCCGCCAATCCGCACGCAATTTTAGAATTATCGCTTGTTCTAATTGCAGACCATTGACAGTCTCGCCCACTAATGGTGTCAATACATAATTGTTTTACAATAATTATACTACCACGATAGCCTTCAACAACTTTGTTTTGTTGTTTAAACATAATCACAACCAACCGCACGCTATAGCAAATTAATTAATTAACACGCACACTTACAGATATTAAATCTAAAAACAAACTGGTTCAAGTAAATCAAAGGACAGAATGAAATTCTGGCTCACACCGCAGTAAAATAAATAAGATCACCTCTCTCTTTCAACATATTCTATAATTGACATAAGAATTGTTTGTAACAAAAAATTTTATTCAAAATCAGATTTTATTCAAAAGAAAGATTCAAGATTGTTGGTCCGTGATCTCTACAAATATTACTTCGTTATGCACAATTGCACCAACTTGTGCAAACTAAATGAACGAGCGGTAACATAAATAAAAAAAATTTCGCTACAGGAAATATAAGGATTCGATTTTATTCAATATCCTTTTATTCAAACCTGCTTTATCAAATGAATAATTCTTACTCGATGAGATCAATACGATTAAATGGGAGTACTTAAAATCAAATGTGCCGATATCGAGTCTTAATTTTTGTTCTTTAATAATGAAAGCATTTTCTGCCTAATGTGTTTGCACTAAGGGGTTTCAATGCATCATTCACGATACAACATTTATTTTGTATTCTAGTACTTGTCTCTTACTGAAAGAGCATACGTGAGAGCATACATAACATCGGTGGATGAGAAAATGCGATTTTATAGCGTAAACATCCTTAACCAATAGCACAAAAGAGACAATAGGCCGGACTCCCCAGCAAACAAACCCAAAGATAATGATTCTTGTCGAAAGGTTATTTAAGAAGATCGACATGAATGAACTTGAATTGTTGTTGACAACAAACGCAATCACTTGGAATCCAGGAATACCTTGGATATGTCTATGGCAACGATTTTGTGTTCGTAAACTGCGGCGAATGGCTGTGTTCCACTATTCTCTAAAATATGCCACTATGTCACCAGCAGATATCTTCGAAACCGATAGAATCGACCACTAATTGGATTGTTGGATTCCAGGCATATCGTCTGATGGTAACTGACAAATGGATGGTTTCAGTGAAAACTATACTTAAACTACACTGATTAATAATTGGATTTAGCTGGAATTATAGCGTCATTAATTGACTCTAAAGAACCCAATCCTGTTAAGAAGTAAGATTCCAGAGGTGAAAGTTAGAAAGATCGATGCAATATGCACGCTCCAAGCACGCTTCAAGCACGCTTGTCGGAACGTGGTGAAGAGCAGTCAAGTGCTGCCTAAATACCAAATAATGCAAAATATAGAGAGATCCACGCAGTGATCGTAATATATGTCTGCTTTTCTAAAATTAGATTTGCATTATTTATAAAAAAATGAAAATTTTTCTTTACTGATAAAAAAACATATACTTAAGCAAAAAAAATACAAATATAGCTCATTTCACACCCATCGCTTAAGAATATAATTATTTGCTTGCCTTTCATTTTATATTCGTTCACATTTAAATCCAGTTTTCTTTTTTTATCACATCGCTTGCAAATTATGTACAAATTTCTAAACAACTAAGTGCGTAAAATCTTGCGAGCCTGTATCATTTCGTGCACATTTGAGAATACACTTTCGGTCAAAGTCTATTTGATAGCTTAAAAATTACTTAGATTGATCCCAATACGGTTACGGATGTTATCTTAAGTATTCTTCTGTGAGTAACCAGTGTCAAAGCATTATGGTATGATATTTTTTAATTTACCAATCTCTCAATGATTATACGGAAAGCAGCGGCGAGGTAAAAGGAGATAGCATTTGTATACGTTCGATTTAAGTGTAGGCACTATGCAAATGAACGAGAAAGATCTCTACAGATAAGTAAGTCATAACGACATCGATAACATATCGTCGGATTTACGGGCATCCCCTCGATGAAGAGGAAAGGAGCACTCAGAAAACAGAGTACTTGTATTTAAAAAACTGTGCAGTCCCCAGAACACGTGTCCTGGAATCGTCTATGCATAACCACGGCGCTATTCACAACACGCTAATGGTTAAGATTGTCCACAAAAT